TCACAAAGGAACTGGAAGTARAACCCAGAAAATCTTCTAAATATTTGTTCTATTTCATCCCTTTGACCGCCAGAGGCGGTGCTTCAAGCACTGAATGATCATTCTTCAGCATGCGCAGGTCGAGKATTAATACCAACAAAGTTACCTGTGACCTGCTGGTGACCCACCTGACTCTATAAAGTCACYTGACAGCCGGCYCTCAATCCCTTTTGTTCTTCTCGCGCGCAGGTATACGTAGATGTGGTTGTGCTAAAAGCTAACAAGCTTTTGTGATTACCACTTCTTGAACGCTTGTTGCTAGAAGCCTCGTGACCGTTATGGTCGGAGCTGTGGGTGAGTCCGCTCTCCAGGGGCTGCACAAGCTTCTTCCTTCAGGTATCAGTTGTCATTGAAGCTATGACTGGTAAGTCTTTTCTTTTCATCGACAGTAGTTTACTGTTCGCTTTTTTTTTCGCTGACTGGGAGGTGGAGCAGCAGAGKCAGTTAGCATCGGGACAGGTGACGTGCCTGAAGTGGTCAGCTGCTACGGCTGTTGCGTTCCCAGCGAAGCGAGCCAGGCAAGACGATACATATAGGTTGTCCATAGAGATGGTTCAACTTAAGTCTGAATTGGCCCAAATGAAGACCCTCCAGTCTTTCCACGCTGCTGGCGGCAGTGTGGTTCCATCTTCTGAGCCGGGGGGAGTGATCCGTGATTAGGATATAATCTCGGTGGCAGGTTCAGGTACCCAGTTTCGGGAGGACCATCCTGAATCAATATCCAGAGCACCAGAAACTAACACCTCCTAAAGGGATTCAGGAGAGTCAGTGATGACAACTATTAGGACAGCTCTGGCGCGGCTGCAGCTAGATGTCCCACAGGTGCGTCCCACGGCTTCTAGCGCCATTTTTCAGTGCCATAACTCCGACGTCACGTTCATGGTCCCTCCTTCGGAGGAGTATATACGGGAGTTACATGCTTGCTGGGCAGATATAAAGGCGTTGTCACGCCCAACATCAGACGTTAGAGCTCTGGCTGCCATGCAGGAGGCACCTAGGTTTGGGCTGGGGCAGATGCCAGCTGTGGAACCAGGGATTGGTTCCCTTATTGTCCCGCCAGATGAGGCATTAAGACCTAATGCGCGGTGCCCGAGACCACAATGCCGTATTACAGACGACCTGCTCTGCACGGCGTATGACTTGGGAGCTCGCATGGGTCTTATTGGGAACTCTCTTTTCCATTTAATGRTAGCTTTGTCCTCCTCTCTGGAGGCAGTCACAATCGACCACTCAACCCAAGACCRGGTCGATGCATCCCTACAGGCCTTTGGCCTCATGACTAGAGAGCTCGGACGCACGCTCTCCACATTAGTCCATGCTAGGCGCCAGATCTGGTTAGCGCAATCACCGCTCATTGAGCCCTGCAGGAGGACCCTAAGGGTCCTTCCTGTGGTGCCAGGAGAACTTTTTGGTTCTGCAGCGCTGGACGCACAGGAGCGCACAGCCCTAGCCTCTCTATCAAGGCAACAACTGGCAGGGCTTCACAGACGGGACCGCCAACCGGTGGGCTCCTGGGTGACGGCTGATCCGTCTCGGAGGGCTGTGCACCCTTCTACATATTTTATGGAGTGCCAGAGTCRGGGCCCAAGACCYGCCCGCAGACCGGCCCCGAACCAGGGGGACCYGACTGGGGCCCAGACTTCRAGCTTTTCTCGGGCAGTACAGCCAGGCCGCTGGCACCCCAAACCTTCAAGAGGCCAGAGGGGCCGCAGGTGATGCCTTAAGGCCGGCAGTCGGATARTTTACCCCGGAACAGCTCAGCAGCTGGGCTGCTCACACCCCAGATTCGTGGGTGCTTTCCACCCTGTCCCGTGGGTATCGCCTTCAGTTTCGACGCCAGCCTCCAATCCCCGGCTGGGCCAGAATGACTACCATTTGCGACCCGGTGAAGGCACAGGTACTGAAGCAGGAAATATGCACCTTGCTGGCCTAGGGAGCTATAGTGCCCGTAAACCCCCTGCAGGATCCAGGGGGCTTTTATTCAAAGTATGTTCTTTTCCTGAAGAAAACCGGTCTACGTCCAATCCTGGATCTCAGGGCCCTCATTGCATATCTGAAGGTAATACCTTTTCACATGATACCACCAAGCAGGTGTTGCAAGCAGTTTATCCAGGCGATTGGTTCACATCCATCGACCTCACGGATGCTTATTTTCATGTCCCAATTGCTCCGTCTCATTGGCAGTTTCTTTGTTTCGCTTTCCAAGAGAAGCATTTTCAATTTAGGGTCCTGCCATTCGGCCTTTCACTGTCCCCCAGGGTGTTCACCTGGTGTGTTGCAGCTGCCCTCTCCCCCTACAGGCTCAGGAGATAAGGATTTTTCCTTACCTGGATGATTGGCTCATTTGTGCAGCTACTCGCAGCCAGGCTATCAGGGACACTCAGATAGTGCCAGATAGAATGCCTGGGGCTACAGGTGAACATGGAAAAGAGCAGTTTGGTTCCGGCACAGGAAACAAATTTCCTAGGCATCACCCTGAATTCCTTCTCAATGACAGCGTGCCCATCCCTCCACCGTGTCGACAGTATTTTAAACATGCTGCAAAAGTTCAGACGCGGCAAAACACTGCCTTTTGTGCTGTATCTTCACCTGTTAGGCACGCTCACGGCTGCATCCAGCGTGGAGCCCTTAGGCCTGCTATCATTGCGCCCCCTTCAGAGGTGGCTGAACAGTTTAAGCCTGGACCCCACCAGGCAAACACACAGACTCAGGAGACTTCGAATCACACCTCAGTGTCTTCACTCCCTGTCCCAGTGGAGAAACAGGGTTTATAACTAGTGCTGTAC